AAGAGGGGTGGGGTCTCCCAGCAGGACTTCTGGGAAAAGGATACTAGGAATGTATGCCAGAAAGTAAACTGAGAACCCAACTCTGAGAAATTGGGGGTGGCTTGTGTTGGGTCAGGCAGGCCTGTGATTGGACTGCAGCTTCTATTAGAGGGAGGGGGGAAAGCAAAAGTTAAAAGGAAACAGCTGGGGGAGGGGTATGGGGACAAGCTCTCCCCACCCCCACCCCAACACACACACACACACACACACACACACACACACCACACGCAACACACACATACACACACACTGGAAGCCTGGGGACAGCCTGAAGCCATGAGCCTAAGGGAACGTGTGTGTCAGGGGTGAGGGCAAAAGATTGATGCTGAGTCCAAGGAGCTCTCTCCTAAGACAGCCGACAAGGCCTGTAGGGACTGACTTGCCAACAGCTGGACTTGATCACCAGCTCGCAAACTGAGATCATGCATCGGCTTCGGGTGGAATAACAAGCAGATTTTGCTCTCCGGCTGTGGCTGTGCAAGACGGTCTTTGCAAAGGATTTTCCACAGCAGTGGGTAGAAAGCAGGAGACCACCACCAGGACCTTTGAGTCTTCTTTGAGAACCACGGCAGAAGAGATTCCAACCCTGGTGGTTTGCAGGATAATGGTGGATCTCCGGAGAGCTTCCGCTTTGCTGGTTCCGCTCCTGGCAGTTTTTCTGCCCCCGCCACAGTGTGCCCAGGACCCGGGCATGGTGCACTACATCTATCAGCGCTTTCAAGTCTTAGAGGTAGGTGGCATCTGTGCACCTGGGACAGGGAACATGCCTCCTGGGAGCCACCTCGTTTTACCATACTTCCCTATTACTGGGCTGCATTTTCGCAGGTAGTACGTGATAAATATATTGCTAACATTACGCTTTATGATGTGCGTAGTCCAGCAGATTGAACCACCCCCTTCTGTCTGTACATTCTCAGACCTGGAGCACAGCTTTTCTCCATGCTCTGATCCAGCAGTTTTTCTCATCTGTAAAATGGGGATAATAATATAATGTGCCTTCTGAGGCTTTTTTAAGCTTTAGTAAGTTAATCCATGCTGAGAACACGGACTGATGTGGTGGTAAACGTCCAAAATGTCGGACATCCAAAAGTCGATATTTCATTTCTTAGGTATGAAAATTAAAATTCTGGTCGCTTTTTCTTCACATTTTCCTGTCTCAGGATGAGAACACATTTTACCTTTTCATTTTTCTTTTTATGATAAGGCACCCAGTTAATGTAAAAAGTCGTGATATTGGTCTACTAAGAAGCTAAGTCTTAGCTCCTTTGGTCAAACTGGACGTGGCCTTAGAAATGAACAGATTTTAACGAGGTTAAACAGAGAGAAAGCATTTCTTCATTAAAATGGGCAGAACCCAAGATTTTTGGCATATGTACAGGTTTCCAGGATAAATAGAACCCTCCACCCTAACCTTTGCCACACGCCAGCATTGACATCAACATTTTATACTTTAATGTCTTGCTTTTGTCCAACTTAAACTGATATATTATTTACCTTTCAAAGATGCTTGCATCGCTAATATTTATTTTTTACATTTTCCTGAAAAAATCTTGAAGTCCTAATTATTTGCTCCTTTAGTTACATTCAGGGTAAAACATTTCCACTGAGCAGGCGGGACACGTTTCCTTCTCATTTTTTGGTAGAGATTTTTGTCTTTCTCCCCAGAGAGACAGAAAGTGAGAAATCACCCCTCCAGCAGGGGATGGCCATACCACAATCCCTTCTGCACAATTCCTCCATTCTCCTCTTGGGGTTTTGGGCACACATGTACATGCCCCCACCCCACCCCCCCCCCCCGCATGAGTGTTAAGCCACCAAATCCGGGACTCAAACCACAATCGATTACATGGGAATCGAGCCACATAATCCTTATACCATCTGCTGGTCCCATGAACACATTTCCTAATGTTGCCCGGCCAGGAGGCTGAGGCCTGCGGCTGTGGGCAAATGCTCCCAGACCAGTGGCCCTTCCTCCTTCTTCACTTGCCACCTCCCCAGATGCCTCCCTCAGCCCCAGCCTCATCTTAAAAGTGCCACAACTGGGCTGAGCCATGTTCCCTCTGTGTTAAGTACCCCTTGTCTTGAGATTAGAGCCAGCCAAATCCCTGCAAATTGTTCTTCCATACCGTAAGAGTTTGTCTGCAGGGCCAGCAGGTGGTGGGGTGCAGGCACTAGATCCCATGTGGCTTTTTGTACAGTTTAAGTCTGACCTCGCAGCTTGAGAAACATGCCAGGTGTGTGCATGCATGCCCCAAATCCTTCTCCCAAGAGGAGAATGAAGGAGAAAGGAGTGTGGTGTGGCCAACCCCCCTGGGAGGTGCTTTCTCACTTTCCCTTTCTCTCTCTGTCTCTGTCTATCTCTAGCAAGCATATGTGCCCTATAGCAAAATTTTTTTTAAAAGTTTGCAGACAAAAATTTAAAGTACAGACTAAACTTTCATAGGTATAAATGTGGATTTGAAAAAGATGGTGGTGGGGTCTGTATAGCTCTTCCCACTCTGGTCCTGGTGCCAGGAAGGGAAGCCAAGGCCCAGGGGGCAGCCATCATTGGCCAATGTAGACATAACTCAGTCATATGATTCACATCCTGAGGTGTGTGAGTCACAGGGTAAGAAAAAGGAAGGTACAGATTTATGAAATTATTATTTCTCTTTGCCTTTTTTCTTTTCCCTTCAAAATGAACAGTCTCACATTTTAGACTATAAATTTGCATTTGTGAATAGCATTTTGGTAAACTATGTCAAATGAACTTTAAGTATATTCTTTGGTCCAGCGATCCCATTTCCATTCATTTATTCTTTCATTCAACAAATATTTATCGAGTACTACTACAGGCAGGGTCCTATGTCAGGTGCTGGGGATAAAGCTTATCTTTAAAAGTCTAGCCTAAGGAAAGAACTAGAGAAGTACTAGAAGATTTTTTTTCTCAATGTTTCTTGAATGACAAAAAATTGAAAGTCATATAAACATTCATCAAAAACTTGTCTAACAGGGCCAGCCCCATAGCCTAGGGAACTGTATTTCATATTGCTAACTGTGGTTCAAACCCTGGCCAAGCGGCTTCAAAAACACACCAAGCTTCACCGGGCGCGTGTGTGCGCGTGCCTAAGATCCCGAGAGGAGAAGGGATTGCAGCATGACCATCCCCCCAGGGGGTGATTTCTTGCTTTCTGTCTCTATGTCTCTCTCTGTCTGTCTGGTGAGTGCACGCACCCTACAGTGAAAAAAAAAAAAAACTCTCCAAAAAAAACACACCAAGCATGTGTGTTTCTGTGTGTGTGTGTGTGCACTCCAAATCTTGATAGGATGGAAAAAAAGAGTAAAAAGGATCATGGTGTTACCACTCTATTTTGAGGTATGCTTTTTCTCTCTCTCTCTTGTGAGCATATATGTGCTCTCTGGCAAAATAAATAAATTATACATATATATGTATATATGTGTGTATATATATAATACACATACATATTATATAATATATATGTATTTTATATATTTTATATACATATACATATATATATATATATATGCAGATTTTAAATTATTTAGGGGCCAACAGGTGGCATATGGTTAAGGTGTTAGACTCCTACCTGGCCAGCTGCGATTAAAATCCCAGATCTGATGGCTTGAATTGAAACTCACTTCAGGTGCATGTACATGTACCCCCAAAATCCCAAGAGGAGAACAGGGGTGAAGGGATTGCAGCATGGCCATCCTCCTGGGGGGTGATTTCTCACTTCCCCTCTCATTGTCTCTATCTCTCTCTCTGTCCAGCCAGCCCCTCTCACATACACTATGACAAAACCTTAAAAAAAAAAAAAAAAGAAAAAGAAAAGAAAAGAAATAATTGTTTAGTAGTAAGTAATGGGGTATCAATTTAATGAGTTACTATGTCTTATTGAACTCACAGTATGATTATATATTAAATTGGTACTGAAATATGTTTACAGTGTATTATCAAATAAAAAATATGATAGAAAGGACTAACAGGTGGCATAGTGGTCAAGGTGCTGGACTCCCACTTAGCCAGTCGTGGTTTGAGCCCTGGACCTAGAGGCTTGAAAATCACACTGAGCGTGTGTGTTTTTACTCAAAATACCAGGGAGACAATGGAGGATTAGGGATTGCAGTGTAGTCATGCCCCATGGAGGGTGATTTGTCACTTTCCCTCTCACTGTCTCTCTCCAGCCAGTGCATGTGCCCTATGACAAAAACCTAAAAATAAATAAATAAATAAATAAATAAATAAATAATCCATACAGTAAAATCACATTTTACAAGTATATAGTTATATGATTAACTGCATGGGAAATTTTTTGTAATTAATACTAAAGTATAAATAGGACCTATGAACTTAAGAATTATCGGTGCCTTTTATTTTTGTCCTTTTTTTTTTTTGAGAGGTTTTTGCTATAGGGGGCATGCGTTTGCTGGAAAGGCAGAGAGAGACGGAGAGACAGAAAGTGAGAAATCACCCCCCAGGGGGAATGGCCACGCCACGATCTCTTCTCCTCCATTCTCCTCTTAGGATCTTGGGCACGCATACACACGTGCCCGGCATGAGTTTAAGCCACTGGGTCTGGGACTTGAACCGTGGTCGACTACATGGGAGTCCAGTGACATAGCCATTACGCTAACTGCTGGTCTCATATTTTTACCCTTTTTAATTATTTGCATTTTTCGAATATTTTTATATAAATCACATTTATATTACTTGGGTAATTTAAATAACTAGCAATAATTTGGGCATTTATTTTCTGACTGAAGCAAGGGCTGGAAAAATGTACCCGAGCAACAAGGGCATACCTTCAAGACTTCCAAGATTTCTCAAGAAACATATCTACTGTGCTGGGAAGATGTCTGAGCTACACGAGCGAGTATAAGAGAGCAGTAAATAACCTGGCACTGCGAGTCGAACGCGCCCAACGGGAGATTGACTACCTGGAATACCTTCGAGAAGCTGACCTGTGTCCAGAACCAGACGACAAAAGCATGGCAGAAAAGCTACTCCTCGAAGCTGAAGAAGAGAAAAAGATCCGGACTCTGCTGAATGCAAGTAAGAGAACTGCACCTTTTACTCTCCCTTTTAGAGACTCTCACACTGAAGAGGCAGACTTAGCACAGTGGAGGAGTCTGACTGTGTAAGAGAGTGAGGATGGGACGTGTGCTTTTGCGTGCGTGTGCTGGAGAGAAACACATGCAAGTGTCCAAAGGAAAGTCCATTCTCAGAAAACACCTTTTTCTGGGCCAGCCCTGTGGTTTAAGGATAAGGTCAAGGGAGCTGGATCCCATATGACTGCCTACAAAGTTTGAATCCCAGCCCCAACAACTGGAAAGTCAGACCTCACACCAGATGCATATGTGTGCATGCCTCAAATTCCCACAGGATGGAGAAATAGAGGATTAGGGATTGCAGCATAACCGTGCTGCACTGGAGATGCATTCTTCCTCTCCCTCTCTCTCTGTCTTTCTCTGGGGAGTGCACACACCCTTTGGCAATTATTTCCTAAAAAAGCTTTTCCTTTCACAGAGAACTCCAGGAGATGCCATATAAGGTCAAGTCAGTAGTGTTAGAGGTCAGTACAGGGAGACCACTTCCTGAGAGATCTTTATTGGTGCAGATACCTGTCCTCAGATTTTTCCAGCAAAGTGGCAGGTTGCTGGATTCTACATCTAGGTGCCCAGGGAGTAGAGGGTGACTACAGATGCACTAAGTCACAACCTGAAACTGGAAATGGTAATGGCCAACCCTCAGGGCTGGGACTGCAGTGAATTATTTTGTGTGCTATCTGGAATGATTATATTCAAGGAATTTGTTTCCAGTCTTGTGATTCATCAGAATCATTTGCAGGCCATTAAAAATAATGTTTGGTGGTGGTGGTGTGGGGGGCGGCAGTAGCATCCACCCTATGGCAAGAATAATCTTAGGGGAGCCAGCAGGTGGCATGGTGGTTAAGGGCGCTAGACTCCTACATGGCCGACCATGGTTCGAGTCCTGGCTTGCTCTCTTACTTTCTGTCTCTCTTTTTCTCACTCTATCCCTCTCTGATCAAATTAAAATAAATAATTCAATTAAATTAAATAATTATTTTAAAAACAACAACAAAAAAGAATAATGCTTAGGAGCTCGAAGTATAATAGAAAGTATCAAGCAACTAACACACAAGTAAGAAAGAAAATGTCCTGTGCATGAGTCCATTTCATTCAAACAAAGAGAGAAACAAATTTCCTACCTCAGAGACTGTATTCTGAGCTGGTTTCATTGCAGATATGAATATGTATTATATAATAGGTATATCTGCCCCAAATTCCAGACACTTCATCAGAGAAGCAACCTGTAAGCCGAGTGCCATCATTATGTTAAGAGGTTCACGTATCTTCTCAATATGAGAACCTCAATAAGAGGTTCACATACTTTGTGCAAACTCCATGGCTGCCATAAGATAAAGAGTCTTCCTCAATGAGGGCACACTCCATCTGAGTTTTGAACAAAGAAGTTGGAGAAGCAGCAGCAGAGGGCACTTCAGGTGAGGAGGGGCATGACCTGTCAAAGGAGTGTGCAGGCACTCAGCACCTGGCTGTGTAGATATTTGCCAGTACAGCAGAGTGAGAGCTATATAGGGCAGATTTATCTTCCTTTTGATTAACTCAACATCAACGGATTTTAAATAATTATTTATTTATCCTTATTATTTCTTAATTTGATCAGAGAGAGAAAGAGAGGGGAAGTGAAAAGGCAAGTCTCCTGTTCTGGTATGGGACTTGAATCGTGGTTGGCCAAGTGGGAGTCCAATGTCCCCTCCACCACGCCACCTACCGGCCACTGGAACCTTATTTTTATCTGCCAAAGCCTTTTGCTTTTATATTATAATATAGCACAATCAGAGAGCTGGCTTACCATCTGCATAGGTCCTGCCTATCCTCAAGGGAGGAGAGGATTCTGTAGGGCAGATACACCAGAGTGGAACTCTTGGGGGCCATTTTAGACCTCTGCCTTCCTCAGTACCTTGTTTGCTAGGTCCAGCTGATGCTACTAATTACCTGTACCTGTCTTCTTCCTGGAAGGCTTCTATTTTCCTATCTCCTAACCTTGCCCCACAAACTCTGTACCAGTTACAGAACTTCTAAAATTTTGAAGACAAATGTCACTACCTTTAGGTGGGCAACACCTTGGGGTGATAAGCTACAGGCGACTCTCCAAAGGTCAGATCAAAGGGTTTTATTCAAACATACACTCTGTCTTAGAGAGTTTCTTTGGAATAGAGATATGATGTCTGAAAAATTCAACCTTGTGTCTCGAGATTAGTTCAAGAAAGTCTAACATGATTCTAGTCTAGGACTATTTCCCAGGCAACTCCTGAGGGCCAGGTAGTAGTGAAAATAAATAATACAGAGTTGCTTTATAATTAAGGCATCCCCTGAAGAGCTATGCTCAAGACTTCAGACTTTAATATTTAGAGGTCCGAAAGTGAAGTCTACATGAGGACCTCAGTCTCAAAGATGTTTTGTGGTTAGGTAAAATTCTTAGAATCTTTTATGTTTTAATTTTTTTATAACCATGGTCAGTTAATTATTTTACTCTTATGCTTTCTCTGTTTTTAAGAATTATTTTTTATTTAATTTTATTTATTTATTTATTTTAATTTGACCAGAGAGGGACAGAATGAGAGAGAGAAGGAGAGAGAGAGGGAAAACAATAAAACAAGCCACCTGCCGGGACCAGCAGTTGGTGTAATGGCTATGTCACTGGACTCACATGTAGTCCACCATGGATCGAGTCCCGGATCCAGTGGCTTAAATTCACACTGGGCACATGTGCGTGCTTGCCCAGGATCCCAAGAGGAGAATGGAGGAGAAGGGATTGCGGTGTGGCTATCCCTGCTGTGGGGTGATTTCTCACTTTTTGTCTCTGGCTTTCTGGCGCCACACGTGCCCTATAGCAAAAACCTCTCAATTAAAAAAAAAAAAGCCACCAGGTCCGGGACTGAACCATGGTTAGCCATGTGAGAGCCCAGCACCCTCAGCCATCATGCCACCTGCTGACCCCAAATTCTTAGAATCTTAACTTTAATCCTAAATTCCCCTCTCCCTCCCTTTCCACTTTTCATTGTCACACACGTGCACAATTTACAATGCAGGTGAGTGAAAATTACTTGAATACAATCTAATCAATACAGGGTCTCCAAAAGTCCCATGAAAAATGTGTATTATGAAGAAACTATGCATGGTTTGCACCAAAATAAATGTGTACCTTCATTCCAATTTCCCATGAATTTTTTTCCAAGTCCTCACATATTTAAAAATTGTTCTGAGCAGGGTCAGCAGGTGGCATGAAGGGTAAAGCACTGGATCCCAGCATGGTTTACTGTGTGAACTGTGTGATTCACATCTCAGACCTGTTTGCTTGAAAATCACACCCAGCACGTGTGCATGCATGCCCAAAGTCCTGTGAAGAAAATGGAGGGAAAGGGATGGAGTGGCCATCCCCCAGGGAATGATTTCTCATTTTCTCTCTTCTCTCTCTTTCTATCTCTGTCTTGCAAGTGCCCATGCCCTGTAGCAAAAAAGAACTAAAAAAAAAAAAAAAAAGCTCCTCGCTTTAGTACTGTAACTGTTATTACTGAAATAAAATTTTGCATTGCATTTGACAATTTATGGCAAAGAACATTGCTTCAGACAAGCAGACTGAGAATGTATCCGACTGAGAGTCTTTGGAAGAGTCCAAGAGCTGCATTCTTGAGTGGATAAGAGTATTAACCTCTTTAACTTGTAAATAGCTTGTGGAGAAAAATTCTCAAGGCAGTCAAAACAAGCCATTATAGCAGATTTTATTTTATTTCCTGCTCCAGTCTGACTTCTTTTATTGCAAAGGTACATGCAAGTTACCTCAAGTAACCTTCACCCTGCTGAATTAAATAACTCATATCTTTTGTTAGATCACATTTCAAAGAAGAAAGTTGGCTGTTGCATATTTAAGTGCCTCTGGGATCCATTCAGGTAGTATAAATGGGCATGCCCCATATTCAAAGTCATTAAAAACGAAACAAAACAAAGTGAAAACAAAGCAACTAAACAAACAAAAAACCCATTGGAAACTAAATAAAACTATCTATGAGCCAACTCCCTAGGTCCTTTAGTGTGTGATGAGTGGAACACAATATTAAGAAAAGTAGAACTAATTTGCAACAAATGTTTGCCACAAAGGAGGTGATTGAAGGTACACATAGGTAGCACAGGAGACAGGGAGTGTGTGGCGTGTGCATGTACACCAAGAAGTTGCTGCATTCACGGGGCCAGTAACACTAGAGGTGTGTGTACAGTATATCCTATCCAGTGTGTTCTCTGGAGGCCTCATGCCCATGAGTCACTGCTGGGTCCAGAATGGCCCATGTACACAGTTATTCTTTTCCTTGTCCATTGAAAGGCCCATAGTCAATGAGGAGGCATCCAGTCCCATCGCTACAGATACTAACGACATATCCCAAAATGGTATTAGCACATCGTTTTGGCTCTAGGTGGTATGAACATCCATTCATCCTCTTGGTACCTCAGTCATTTGTTAATTTATTCTACAAAGGTTAACTGAATTCCAGATGTATGTTGGCATTGTGCCAGACATTAGAGATGGAATGTTGGATAAGGTAACATCCTTGTCTTCAAAGAGTCTGCAGCCCTGCAGAGGAGCCATCTAGACCAAGCCGGGGTAACAGTCCAGAGGGATGACAGTTGCAATGAAGAGATATGAAGTGTGTCAGAAGCACAAGGGCTAGGCACCCACTAGATAGAGTCAGGGTTGCCATGGAGATGGGAAGGCCTGATTCTGAAAAGTAACCCTCAAGCCAAGTTTTAATCATGGAAAAGAACTAATTAAGTGAGAATAGGGTAAAGGGCATTTCAAGCAAACAGAGCAGCATGTGGTGGCACAAAGGCATTAGCCAGCTCAGAGGCTCGCTTGGAGGCTCCATGTGTTGTTTGTAGGACAAGTTATTTGACAGAGCTCAGGTGAAGGAAGAAGCTATGGAGAGGCGAGGAAAGGGCTAGGCAAGAGCTAAGTTG